AGGAGACCATTCTTCCAGGTGAATTCTATTTCTTAAGCTAATTGACTATAATGACCAATAAATACACACGACAAGTCTGCTTCTTATTATTTTAGGATAAGCCGTTTTCTTTTCACTTAACAGAAATTACGAACTTGAAAACAAGGGTTTTCAAACTGAACCAGTTCTAAAGAAGGCTTTAGGATAATTGGTTTCTGAGGCGTCAAATTTAATTAAACTGAAACTGAGTTAAACTAATTACTTATTGTTCATCAGATCGTTGCCATTCGATCGAACAAGGAAACTAATCAAAGCTACGCCGGCCGTTTGTAGTTTCATTACGCCTTTTCTTGAGCGGAAACAACAAACACTTGTTAAATAAAAATGTTTGGAATTCACAGCAACCGCTTGGGCGTCTTTATATCAAATCGCCAAACCTGATACAAAACTTAAATTGGTACCTTTTCAGTTAAATAAACCACTGAAATTACGATTACAAACTTCAGTGTTGTGAATTTTCCTCTGAAACTCCTTCACCAACCCTCGTCACTTCAAACGTGAAATTACAGCGTTTATACATGCCGTTTAAGATAAATTTATCGTGATACCGTAATCACAATACAGGTACCTTAATCCTGAGTTACAGTTTAAGTTGAACAAGAAAAGTACCATAAAATACGTAATATACAAGGATCAAAATAGTGAAGTAGTGAGAAAACCTCAGAAAACCAAGGGTTGTAAAAGGCAGGTCCCTCATGATTTGGTCATTGGTTGGAATAATTTAGGGCAAGCGGGCGCAGAAGGATCAGTACAATAGATTTAAAGGAGCTTTGTCATGTCTTTCGAGTTCATTTTGTTGACAATACTACAGTCGAACCTCCCCACAACGGCCACCTTGGGGACAGAATAAAGTGGCCGTTGTAGAGAGGTTTAAACAAGAGTCAATGTATGGAGTGTCCGCAAAAAAAGTAGCCTTTGTAGAGAGGTGGCCATTAGTGAAGGTTCGACTGTAATTACGGGTCATTGTTCGCTATGGAACTTTAATGAGAAGTTACTTGTGAATGGCAAAACGGCAGTGAAACGGGGCACCTACCCCTCCCCTAAGCCAACATTTTCCCCTAAGTGAGAAGTAAGTGTTAATGTTAGTTTTGGGAAGGGATAGGTGAGTAGCTTCCCAGAAACCTAAATTGATCGGACAAAACCACAACTTCGTGTTTAACTAGCAATGTCTCCTAAGCATTATATCCGGCCGGCAAGCGTTACAATTGCAAAAAAACAAAAACAAGTTTTCTAAAACCACAATTCTAAGGCCCAGTTCAGACGTCGTGCTTCTGCCGTGCCGAACTAAATTCGGGAATTAAGTTCGACAAAGGCACGGCAGAAGCACGGCGTCTGAATCAAACTTTTGAATTAAGTTCGGCAAGCAATTAAGTTCGACAATTAAGTTCGTGCTACACGGCTCTGGCACGGCAGCGATTCAAACGTCGTGCTTCTGCCGCGCGAAACAAAATTCATAAATTATATTAATGTATTTTGGCGAGATTGCGTTCCCACGCGGAGTTGGGAGAAGAATTGTTACGAGGCATCAGTAAATCCTGAATTTGGTTCGTCTGAATCAAAGTTGTTTTCCTGCCGTGCTACAGTCGAACCAAATTACAATTAAGTTCGGCACGGCAGAAGCACGACGTCCCAACTGGGCCCTAATCCGTTTCAATCTTCTTCAATTTTGTCCATCCCTGCCTCCTTTATGTGTGTTGTGTTACTTATGCCTCCTTTTAATGTTTTGACCGGTTATTTTTTTGTTTCACTCAATTTGGAGGCAGATCTCTCTGTTTTGAATTTTGATACACTTCGTGACACAGTAGTCTGCTACACAGCCGTTTTTAGTGTCGTCACGCAACGCTCCTCCCCACTAAGTTATTGGTGAGGAGCGTTGCGTGACGACACTAAAAACGGCTGTGTAGCAGACTAGTGACACAGTTCCTTTAAAGGGACAGTGTCCCGATTATGTGCACGCGCGAGCGTCATCTGTTTTTCCTTCAAAAGACAATAGAACTGTCAAATTGACTCGACAAGATTTCCTTCCGGACCGCACCGCCGACAGAGATTTGTTGTTTATATTCTCAAGTAATATTTTAGACTTTCGAAGAAGTCTTTCGTCTTATATAAAAATTTGGCTCGCGGTTCGAAGACTCATCGCGGTTTTATCGCTAGCTGGGCCGCCTCGCGACCCGAAAATCTCGTTCCGCTCGCTTTAAAAACATATTTTCTAATTTGAAACTCGTGCCAGAGGTCAATAGCTCCAAGTCCAGTAATATCTGCCTGATTTGCTCGCGTTCTAGCCTCAAACGTTTAAAAGACATAAATAAAAATGCAATCTCAACGCTATGAATCATCACAAAGGTTAGTCAAAAATGATATTATGATTTCATGTCACTAGTTTTTCAAAACATGTAGCGCCTGTTTGTTCGATTTTGTCGGCCGTAGGGAGATTCATTTAAAAGTTTACTAACGCGTCGTTGCAAAACATTCTGCTTCACGAAGCTCCCCTCCACAAGATCTCCTCAGTCACATCAATGTCTCAACGGTTTCTTTCTTACAGTCTTTATTGTTGCTGTTTCATTTCTGCGTATTCCTTTCACAATTATCTGAGCTTGTATGGAAGCTAGCAGAAGAAATAAGCCTTCAATCGGCATCAAAGTGCTTCCAATCTTTTGGCCCTCCGGCCAACGGCAATAAAAGTAACGCCAAAAAATCCAGATTTTGCCCAAATCGAAACTTAACAGGAACAATATATCATTGATCTATAATCCTCAGAAGTTTTAGTGTCGTATTGAACCCGGCCAAGCGCGATGCAAACGGATTTTTCAAGATTCTCTTACTCTCCTCGCATCTTTTGATTTCGCGACATCCTGTCCAAAAATCAAAGTGTGGTGCATGCGCAGTAACGGGACACTGTTCCTTTAAGTCAGTTTCAACGGATCACTGGGTTATTTCCTTTCACCTGATAGGCTCCTTAGGCCTCTTTAGGCTTCTACTTTTTTTACCCCTAAAGACATTCTTGTATTAACTGACTATAACGTCTCCGTTTGATTACTATGGATGCCACATGTCTAAGCTGCTATATAAGCTGTTATAAAGGAAGTAACGTCGGAAAATGTCTGGGAAATGAAAATGTTACTAAAAATATCTGTATTTTCGCTGGTGTCTGGAACTTTTGGATTGTAATCAAGGATACCACGTCTAAGCTGTTGAACTCAACAAAACTGATACCATGTCTCGTGTCTTTTAAAGCCATTCTCAGCTTAAGAAAAAGGAAACTCAGAACTATTGTTTAGTAAAAGCAGGCGATCCGCTAACCTTTATGGCATTAATGAGGGAAAACTCATTAAGCAGCATACGAAGGACTGGGTGCTAAATTTGCCCTCACATTCCAAGTCCACAATTCATTGCCTAGGTTAGCATTAGGTAACATCGGCTGAAGCCAAATTGTTTCTGTTAGTAAAATTACATGAAGAACACCTCAAGTCCAACTTTACTGTGTAATATAAAGCAAACTAGTAAAAACCACATGTCACGGAAGATAAAACGCTTTTGCTCCAACGCTGTGCTTTGCGTAAGTTTCTCGTGACAGATGGTCGAAACACGCGTGATCAGATTACGAGTGATAGAAGGTCCAAACGCGCGTGATCAAACTGCGTTATGTGCATTCCATTCATTCTTAGTGGAAGTCCAAAAGAATGCTGGCTACACTGACATATGCGACGCATTCGTAATAACATCTTGGAGATTAGAATTGCAGGCTCCTCTTGTCAGCCGCGAATAGATAAACTGAACTGGAAAATTGCCTTGAACCCGAGTCATTTGCCTCATAAGCTACATCGATATCCACTACACCATCGAGTACTAGCTGCCAAATCCAGTAATTTTTAAAATATACGTGTACACCTATGTCGTATCCCATTACAATTATATTCAGTTTAGTGCTTAACCCTTATCATTGCAGATCAGTGATTTACTCTCTAGTGTGTTCTCTCCGTCTGACTAGCGCCATGCAGTCTTGATTTTTCAGCAGTTCTGCAAGGTTAGTGGAGTCCTGTTCCAGTATCGTTACGTTAAGAGAATAATGCGTTGTGTAAACCTCATAAGGTGTCCTAGCCTGCGAGCGAGCTCGCCAGAAAGAGCTCGCCAAAGAGCCAATCTGCCTTCACCCGATGGTCTCTAATGCTAACTAGAGCCCCCTTGTTCGCAGGCTAAACGGTGTCCGAATCTGGATTCACAAAACCAACCATGATGGTCTCTTTTAAAACTGCCTAAATAAATTGCCATGAAAAGCAGGGCCCCCGAGGGTTAGTTCCCCAAAATTGTTCCCGTCTAACTTTTCATCTGTTCGGCCAGACACCCTAGCGATCCGAAAATTATAGGGATGAAAATCTAAGGAAGATAGTATGGATTGTCTAGGTGGCCTTTTTCACAAAACCAACCATGGGTAGGTTTTTTGTAGATGTTCAAAATTGACTTTTAAAACTGTTCCGAAACTTGGGCCTCAAATGTCTTCCGAACAGATATTTTCAAACATGAAAAGCTTTCCTGCAGACCCGATTTTGCGTTTGAAATACTGGTGCCAGGTAACTGGATAAGCTGATCATGGATTGAACCTTTGAGACTGGATCCGCTTCCGAAAGCGGTAAAGATATTAAAGAACAGAAATAAATGGATAAACTGGAAGAATAGAATACATTACTTTATTCGTGGATTTTTGTTGCTAGCACGGGCTGGTTAATTATTACAAACAGTAAGACTATCAATATAAATGTAAGCTAGAAATTATAAAGATTATATAAATGGAGTCAAAGATCTTTTGGACCCACTCTCTAAACTCTGGGTGAAAAAATCGCCTGTAGAGTAGGTCGTGATCGTGGTAAAAGTATCGATGTTATCGAGTATTTGTTATCAGTATCGACCCCTGCTACTTTTCTATCTAGTTATATTTGTCATGAAATATGTTTCCGTTTAAAGCATCATTTGTAAATTACAACAGCTGCCATTTCAGGTCCTTTGATGAGTTTATTTCCATTTTTATCCACAACTATAAACTCTCCGAAAAAATCCAAAACGTCACGCATCAATTCCTGATCGGCGGTAGACCGGAAGTCTTTCTGATGCGTCAGGAAATCGAACAATCGGTCGCCTTGTTCCGAAGGCTCACCGAAGCACAAGCTCACATCCACGGAGAACTCCTGCCTGATGACCTCATACTTCCAGCCGTTCTCTTCAGCTATTTTCGAGAGATCCTTATCGGTGTAGACAACCATATCTGAGCCAAACGTTAATCTTCCTCTAAATCTCCTCTGTATCTTCGCAAAGAATGATCTTTCGGTTTGCACAAGACATAAGATGGCTCCCTCCGCTCCCAGTTGTTGTTCAAAGCACGTGCGTAGGGTATCAGCCGCGTCCATGTAATAAATACTATGGATAAAATGGATTAAATCAAAGCTGGGTGGTTTTTTGTCTTGAACAGCGCACTTTTGCTTGTACTCTTGAAAGGTGAGTTGTTGCCATTCAAACGATACATGAGCTAAATCTGTGAGCGTGTCTGGTAGGGATGCAGCGGATGTTTTGAATTTCTCCAGCAGAAAGGAGCTTGGCTCAACCACCAAGCTGTGAATAGCAGGCTTTGTACCACAGCCACCTGCCTTTAACTGACTGGCGATGAACTGGATAATGAATAGATCCATTTCACCTTTTCCGCTTCCAACCCCCAGAATGTTGAAAGGTTCGTTTTTATCCAGAGGACTGATTTTCTCCAGTGCCAGCTTTATCCCGCCTTGCACGCACTTCACTATTGCTTGCCTGGCTGTAGAGTGATCTAGAAAGGTCTTGAAAGACTTTTCATAAGCTTCGTATAACTGAGAAAGAGATATCTTTCGCACAGACATCTTGAAAAATTGCAAGGACAAACACTAAGAGTGCACAGGTCACTGGCCGCGCACAAAAACTTTTAATGTCATACTGATGAAAGGCTATAAATGGCATTCGTGTAATGCGCGCACGCTCTTGTGAAATGTATCGCTCATTGTTCTGAGAGCCCCTTCACTTCTTCATCTAGTCGGGACTAGACTAAGTAATCCAATTATTCTGTAGTCTCTGTTGTAGTATTTTAAATACGTTTTAGCCTGGTTTAATTGGTTTATAGTGTTTACACGGCTTAAACTTACCGAGAGCATAGCATGAAAGAGTGCTTTTTTATGCAAGGCGACTGCGAGGAATGTTGCCAAGTCACGATGTCAAGCGTTTAGTTGACAAGTTTAAATGAATTTGCAAATTCCGATGGCTTGTGTGGTAGGCCTTTGTACATTATGCTTTTGTTTCCCCACGAAAATGCTCCATCTTAATGCTCCATTTTTCCCACTAAAATGTTCGGTAGTCCCGAAAAAAATCAATAAAATGCTCAATAACGCTCACCACAGAGAGGCATTTATTAATTCTGAACATTTTAAGGGGGTTTAAGGCTAACAAAAATGTTTAAGGGGTATGACAACAATGTAGACAAATAAATAGTTTCAATACAGCTAGAAAGATCATCAACATGGCTGCATTAAGGTGAAATTGAATATAGTTTTTTGAATTATTTTTAAAGTCGTCAATCTCTTCAAAAATGTTTCAATTTTTATTTTCTGTAAGAAAAGAACCTAATTTTCCTGAAAAATGCCACTAAAATGCTCGAATAATGCTTAGTGCCTTTGCCTCACTAAAATGCTCAAAAAGCATAATACACAAAGGCCAGTTGTGTGGCTTAACACTGATGACGTTGAGAGATTGATTGAAATAAAAGACTCCCGGTGATGACATGAAAAAAGATCACCGGAAGTCTTTTCGCTTCTCACATGCATGACACGCTCATCGCCTCAGAAATCGCTTCAATTAGATCATCTAATAAAAATTTAATTTTCAAGCTTGAAATTTTTCAAGTTCAGGGCATTCTTGTCGCATACTTTGTCCTTCTATGTCCCATTTTTTTGCTGTACATCCTTCTTTAATAGAAAATAAATATTGATTAAAGCAAATTTCATTTTTCCCCAAGAAATATTAGTATTTTGAGGGGAGGGGAAAACCGTAGACGAGGACAGAAAAGCCTCTCGCAGCAAGGAAGAGAACAACAACCTCAACAAACTCAACTCCCCCTGCTAAATTCACATTTGCATGGTTTCCTCTTTGGGATTGGAACCCGGGCCACATTGGTGGGAGGCGAGTCCGGGGGGGGGACTCTCCTATATGGGCTAGGCTGGGCAAGGGTATGGATTTTGAGGCGTTTTGGTAGTTAAAAAGGATATAGATTTTGCCCATTATTTATGGTCTGACATCGTGTATGTTTTCTAAGGGTATAACCTTTATTTGAAGAGGGTGACACTTATTACTATGAAAGCCGGTATTCTCCCTAGTGGCCCTCTAAAAACAAGAATGTTGATAAAAAGTCGATGTACAAACAGTGATTACAATAAAAGATCTTAAAAATTCTTAAAAATTTTACAATTGAAAAGTTGAGAAATGTTTCAAACAAATGTGACTAAATTAGTAAAAAAGAGAATCTATTTACAATGATATTAAAAAACTAAAATTCAAGCTCGTCCCCAGGGCTTTTCCCAGTGAGGGAAAAGCCCTGGGGACGATCGAGGTTGACTAAAATTTACCGTAACCGACTGGGGAGGAACTGACATCCACAGCATCGTCCCTAACAGAGAAGTGAAAAGAAGTTCAAGTACCTTCTTTCAGGGTCTATGGATGAAATCCTGTAGTACTTCTGAGTAGTACTCTCCTGTGGTACTGTTATGGTTTGTAAGGTGGTGCTTGTAAGGTGTTGCTTACTGTTGAGTCTTGGGTTCAGTTAAATATGCTTCTAAAATGTGAAGACCATTCAAATGAACCTTTCATGTGCTGTTTATTTTGCTGTACAAGGTGGTTCCAACTTTTGAGTCTGGATGAAACAAAACAAAAACAAAATCAACGACATTCCCTATGATAGTAAAATGATGCCCAAGTGTTCATGGCCATCAAAGTATTAAAGTGCAAAGTGTTGTGTGAATTACAATCTTCCTTACCTTCCCCAAGCGGGTAGCCACAGTCTCTTTTTGCTTATGTATAGCCACCCCTCACATATTGCTTTGTTAGCCTGAGGACACACATCCCCTCCCCAGACTACCGCTCAGCTACCGTCGCACGCCGATTTTTTTTCGCCTTTTTCATCGCTGCGGTGCCTAGTTCCAGGCTTCTGTGCTGTACACGTTATGTTGTGTTCAGAATAACGATATATTTGTATTTCTGGTCGCTTCGAAAATAAAAACTACATTCACCTATATACATGTATTGGTCAAGAACTCTGCAAATAACTTGCTTTTGTTGGCGTTAATAAATAAATTATGCTTGACTGTCTGATTGCAGCTGTGTTTACATTTCCAAGCTGCCCGCACGAATGCTTTTTCCATCTCAATCGCTCCGAGATCATTCTAGAGCCCTGCGAGATCTTTTGAAGGACAGGGTAGAACAAAGCTGATGAAAAGAATACCAAAATGTCATTGCCATTAAATAGAAATCTGCATAACCTTGATGATGTTTGAATAAAAATCCTTCTTAGCGGCCCCTGTAGGTAGCCGCATCAGTTGTTCTTGCTTGTGTACGGCCACCACTCCCCTCATTATTTTGCTATGCATGGTGGTTGCTGAATACTTTGTGGTATGCTTAACTTGCAAAAAGGTTTTATGTTAGTTTTCGAGTCGTTTCGAAAATGGAAACTACAACCGCCTACATTTGGCATTAAATAGGACTGTAAATAACTTGTTCGTTTTTCTGAGGGAAGGAGGCGACTGTACACAGGCTAATAGCCTAAAAGCTTAAAAATTATGCGTGACTATCTGATTGCAGCTGTGTTTACTTCTCCAAACTGATCGCACGACTTCGTTTTATATCTCGTGCAGTCCGCCATATGAAACTCTAGACTTCCTACTATGTTCGAGGAGTGGGCTTGTGGGATTTGAGGGGGGCCATGAACAAAAATATGGCTTAAACGTAAAGACTTTTGTTCTTGGACCACCGTTGTTTGATAAGAAACAGAACACAAGCAGCTGTGATAAACATATTCAACTTACTCTTTTTTATAAACTTGACGTTTCGTATATACTCAACATACGTTTTCAAAAGTACCGTTACAATTTTGAAAATTGTACTTATATACTTATAGACTTGCATGGTTTTAAAGGGGTTGGGAGAAAAATATTGAGTGTAAAGGGGAGGTAACCAAAACATTTTGTTAAGTTTTGCAGTGACAGCATCTGTAATAGCGCAAACGTAACAGCCGTACCAGAATGCCAAAAACCAGTGTTTCTGACGTTCAGAAAATGGTAAAAAAGTGTTGAGACTGAATTACACACTTTGCATCGGCACAGATTTCACCTGTTAGATTTTTGACCAATCTGCAATGCTTCCTGGCTACTTCAGATCAGGAGTTATTTGGAGATTATGTATTCAGTTATATATTTATAGGAGATTAAGTTATAACGAAACTGAAGCAGTTATTTAACGGAAAGTAATCAATTGCCGCTGTGTTTTTATTCATAGTCGGTACCTGCACACTTTTTTCGTGTAAACGGAAGCAAAAAAGACTTTTGATCGTATGCAGCAACACCGCGATGAGAAAAAGAAGATGAAATCGGAAGTAACTTCTGCGCATGCCCGTCCAAACTACAGTGGAACCTCTCTTTTGGAACACCTCTATTCAAGGGACACCTCCGTTCAGGGGACACAAAATTTGGCCCCGGAAAAATGTTCACCAACAACAGTTTATTCAATTTTCAAGTAATTTAAGACTATGTTACCCTCAATTAGCGGAACTATTCTACGTGGGCAACAATACAGTAATTTCTCCTATACTAAAGCCAGCGGAGGTTAAAAGACACGTCCACGTTGGTCAACTCACCGCTGTTCACATAATCTTTGTATTTTTACCCCATTGAAAGGACGCCTCTATTCAGGGGAAAGGGACGCTTAATCTGGGTCCTGGAACTCAGGTTTAAGCTCCATTCAGGGGACACCTTAGCACTCAAAAAGTGACTGACCACAAAAAGCGTTGATAGGGTTGAGTGTTCGGCGGTCACAATGGCCACAGCTTTCAAAATATAAACTATCTCACTTAAATCGATGTACTGCACTCTTGTGGAAATTCAACACACAACATCGCAGAGAGAAGTTAATTATGACTTCCTAGCCCAATAATGGAGGACAAAAGAACTTGGGACTGTGTGAAAAAGCCCTTCCAAGTAATTGTTATGTAGGACCCTACTCCTAACGACAATTTTTTGTTCGTCTTTGGGTTCATCCCGTCGTCTCCCCACTCCCCCCAGCAATGTTGTAACCAAAAATAGCACTCATTTCCACCCATTTTGTGCAAAATTCAACTTTGTCTGGGGTGGGAGGGGAGGGGTCGCTAGTTTTAGTAATATCACTGGAAAGGTCCCAACTATTTTGACCTCCATTGAACCTCCATTCAGGGGACACCTCTATTCAGCGGACACTTGCCTTAGTCCCGAGGGTGTCCCCCGAAGAGAGGTTCCACTGTACCTCAAAGACCTACGAGAAGCAGAACTATATTATCAAAGACCAAAAACTACCATTGTCACCCAAAGATCTGCAAATTTTCAAAATATTTATTCATCATTCAGGCGGCCTTAGCCGAGTTAGTCGCCTGACCGCCCAGTCCACCCTGTTCTCCATGCAGGCGGAGAGTTCACTGGTGGATGCTGGCCCAGCATCCCTCTCTGATTGTAGACAGTTTTGAAATTATTCAAAGATTAAGTTATCTTTGAAGGAAAATTTTGTTGGGAGTAAAGGTCCACTTTTAAAGCAAAAGTACTGACTAGCAAGACCCTCTCTCAATAGAACTGCTGCGAAAGAATCCGTAATTTATTGATTTCCTGGATTTTCTTCAACGCGTTTTGAACAGGATTGTGTTGTGTAACCCTTTGTTTTTGCCTCTTGGGTGGCCTGTGTAACAAAACGCATCACTGGCTCGTTGGCAAATTAAACCTTTTTTCACCCCTTACATGCGTGCATTACAGTGAGATGGGACATGACGCTAATAGTTTCTGAAATATCTTTGAAGCAAATCCACCACTGGCTGAAACACATGAGCCTTGAAATGCACTGCGTCGTACGGCTTTTTAGGAAGCCCAGTCCCTCCCGGATATGCGTCGCTGATGGGAAATACGTCTAGCACGTCGATCCTTGCTTTGCACATGGCGTGCGTGGCATAGGCGTTAAACAAGAGCACACGCTGCAAGGGAAGGTGAAAAACAGCATCAGTTGATTATTATCAACATTTCCCTTCCCCTAGGTCTTGTGTAAGCTATAGTAGCAAACTATATTCAATGGTTTTTGAATAAGTAAGTAAGTAATAAGTAAGTAAACAAGTAATTATGAAGTAAGTAAGTAAGTCAGTCAGTCAGTCAGTCAGTCAGTAAGTAAGTACGTAAGTAAGTAAGCAAGTGAGCAAGTAAGTAAGTAAGTAAAGGCTTTATTTATGGAGAGTGACACTTGAGAGTAGTTAATAAAACACTGATAAATTCTTGGCCCTCATTACACTATAAAAAGGATCTAAAAAGTAAGACAGTATTGTAAGAATTCTAGCACTGATTATATCAAACACTTAAAACATCGACAGTTAAAAATACAAAAAGCTTAAAATATAACATTTAAAATGGCAAAAACTGCTTGAAATAAAATCTTAATACATGTATAAAGAAGCCTCATATCTTAAGGAGCGGAGAAGCTTTCTGATCAGTTAAACATTTATTGTACAAAGCGCGCTTAAACTGGTAATTGATAGTTTCTTTCTGATGCTTCATGGATCAAAAGTGTTCCACTCTGCAATTGTCCTAACCGTGAAGATTCGCCCCCCCCCCCTCCCTCGGTTTTCCTTGCGTACTTAGCACAAAACAAGTTTAAATCGGAATAACGAGTCTCTCTTTGATGGGAGACCGAATTCTTAATTAATAAATTATCTATGTAAATCAGGATATAAAAATTGTCATATCTAAGCGATTATAAACTAAAGTGAGTGTTTTCATTAACGACTGCTTAGTAAAAGGCAGGCAATTAAGGTTATTGAAAAGAGTGATCGATGGTGTTTTTCTGTCTGCGTCTAAAATAATTCTTCGTCCGCCCTCTTCTGAAGCTTGAGAACCCTTTGCAGATTTTCCGCACAACAGCTGTCTCAATCCGTGCTCCCGTACATGAGGGTCGGTTTGTTAACTCCGTTATAATAAGTTTCTCTTCGTTTTCTTCGTAGATAGGGACTTACATGCTTAAAGAGGCGTTTTGATAATTTTTTGCATAGATCGTCAACGTGCGAATCATAAGCCATGTTCCTATGAAGAGTTACACCTACAAGTTTTTGTGTAGGGACCTAGGAGATTTCAACTTTATGGAGCATTATCTTCAGGCTTTGGGCTAGTGTCTTGACCTAGGTTAATTCCTAGCAATACGCTTCCCTCTAACAAGCAGAGATTTGGTCTTGTTCTTGTTTATGAACGTCATATTATTAGTCGCCCATTTACTTAGCAGCATCAAGATCACTATTTAAATGATGGGTCAGTTATTAAATACTGAAAAGTGCGCACTAGCTGTTATTGTTGTATCGTCAGCAAAAATATCAAGTTTCTGGCAAACTTCCCACCTACCCCTCCCCTAAGCTAACTTTAACACTCACTTCTCACTTAGGGCAAAATGATGGCTTAGGAGAGGGGTAGGTGGGAAGTTTCCCAGAAACGTAAATTGATCCAAAATATCAACCGAAGATCTCTGTAGCGGAATATCAGTGACAAAATTAATAAAAGGAACAAAATATGTAATTTGCAAATGGATAATTTGAGTGATTTTCCTATAAACCTTATAAAACGTATTTTTTTATCCACCTCTTTTCTTCCCCCCCACCCCTCTTAGGAAAAGTCGCATGAATATCTCCTAGGGGTAGGTAGATAGTAGGGTATGGTTTTTGAGGATCTCGATCCTTCAACGGGGTATCATTTTTGTCCCTTTGGGCATTGTGTTCCCAGTTTGATCCTTGGAAGGGGTACTCAAATTGTATCAGCTAAAATTCAAATGCGTAAATACCCAGTTACCCGAGAAGCAAATCATCAGTTAGTATTGTGAAAGCGAGTATTATGAAAGTTTGTGTGTTTCCATGAAGACCCTGGCGGCACACACCTAGCCGAACTTTATGGAATTACCCCCCCTTGCTTCTGATCCTTTATTGCCTTTACTGGGGAGGCTTGATTATATTTATAGTTTACAACAACTCAATATTTGTTAATCACGTTGTCGCAGCCTCACCTGATAGGTTAAAAATCTAATGCTGGTAGAATGCCTTGCGTTGGTGCGAGGATCTCCATATTTTTCTTTATTTATAGCAGTCGTTGTTTTCCAAATAAGCTTGCCTCTAAACCGCCAGGCTATCTTATCCGTATTAAACTTTTCCGTTAACAATCGGATTGTGTTGTCAATAAGCCTCACGTATGTGGTGAAGTTTATGGTGTGCACGTAGTGCAGACCCATATTTAATATGAGAGCACTGTTTTTGTCCTTCATGGACGGTTGGGAAATTGCGTGAAATATTTCGGTGATGACTCTTCTGATGCTAAATTCTTTATCATCGTTTTCCAGCCTCGCTCTGGTTAAGTTTCTCTCCTTTATTGTGTAAACCCAGTTGTAGGTGTTGTTACATGTTTGAAATATTTGTTTACACAGAGGTTGCTTGGTAATGGACTTGTAGAAGAAATCTCCGACAGAGTCTCCGTAAATCCAAAGTGTGTTTAACTTTCCTGCTGTGGCTATTTGATTGGATTTTGACTCATCTGAAGGTAGAAGATGTTTATAATAATTCGTGAGATATCAAATACGTATAATCGTTATTTTAGGTATAGACGTGTCACTCAAGTATAAGCCCAAACATACGCAGACAGAGTAACTTGTTGAAACTTCTTCCAAACAGAAATACTAATGATCAGGAGTGTATTGCGTCTGAGCATTCTACTCGCGCCATGTAAACCAGGCTTTAATAATATTAATGATGATGACGATGATGATGATGATGATAATAATAATAATAATAATAATAAATCACCATCATTATCGTCATCATCGTTATCATATATCCTCGTATTTTGTTGCATCTAGAGGGAGTTTCTTTGACTATTGCATGCAGTCTAATGCTAAATAGGCAATTGAGAAACTCTCTCTCCTTTCCTTCTTCTTACTAACAGTGTAACATTATGCTGTTTTCCCTAAACTGGTCGCCTGTAAAACCAACGATATTGATGGGAAGAGTGTATCATGAGATTGGGGGAGTATTTCGGGATCGTCATTTACGATGTCGCTTGAGATCATGTTTCTACTCCGCAGATTGTGTGCGAACTTTACCGAGACAAGGCAGATGATTGGTTTTATTTTTGAAAAAAGAAAAACTTCAGTTTCTCTGCTGGTCCTGTGAATGCATATCCGGCCTGGCCATGTCCTTTTGGCTTTTAGCTGGACGTCTGTGTCTGGTTTTAATATTCATGACATGATGATCAATTAACATCAGTTTGCGCCTTAAAGGGCTTCTAATTCTCTCCCCGTTAACAAGCAACCTTAATTGAACTTTCAATCCGGTTAGGAGCTGATTACCCTGATACGGCGCAGAAAATACCTGACTTATTACGGTTGTGATTTCTACTCTTTCTCTTTATCAGTGATTGTAATTCATATCGTTAATTAACTCTTTAAATGTTAGCCACTGACCCGTGAGGAAAGGTATCCATGATTCATTTACCCATCGTCCGTTGCCATCCCACAGATACGGACATTTGATTCCGCAAGGCACGTCTAAATTACCATACTTCTTTAACACTTCTAGTGAGGGAGATTAAAAACGAACAGTTCTTAGGTTAAACCTTTCACAAATTATTCATACACATGCATGAGGATGCATGTGTACAGGACAACATTTGAAACAAACAATTATCTGGGGTACCATCACGCATGAGCAATTGGTATTTGTTATACAGCTGCTTCATTTGTCGTTAAAATTTCGTGCTCAGAAACTGTTGCGAAATGTGCGATGCCATATACACTCCCGTGCCAAAACAACGAATGGCCATGAAATAATACGTTGGGTTACAAGTGCCAATCAAATCCCGTGAATATCGCTACCAACGTATTTGGTAAATACTAGAACGATTTAGTGTTAGCTTCTTCCACCATTCCGAGTCCCTAGTCGAATTGGAATTTGGAAATTTAGGTTTTGGGGAGGAGGAAACTCAGAGAAAAGAAATTACCGGTGTTTGCTTGAATAACTTAACTTAGAGCGCCAGATACCGCGGTACATTTCAGTTCTTTTGCACTTAACGCCAGCTAATCAATGCACTTACTGTAGAACACTAGCTCGGCTGATTGTGGGATGACGACCGTAAAAAGTGCTCCATTCCAGAGAGGGCTCAAAAGGAAAGGTCTTTCCTGATGGGGGAGAGCGTTTGGAGGCTGATATCTACCATGTGCATTCCCTGTTGAAATCAACAACAACCTTTTCACTGAACACCTGTGACATTCACATGAGCATGCTGTAAATGAAACCTACTATTAATTTTCTTTAATTCTCGACACTATGAACTAAAAACCCATGAAAATCCTGTGAATTAATTCATGTTAAATTCACGGGATTTTCAAAGGATTTTAATGGTATTTTCATGGAAAATCTTATAGTGCCAGATATTTCATGGCAATTTCATGAGCCATGAAACCCATTATCAACTTTTCATAGAAAATTCATGACCTGAAAAATAGGCCATGAAAATGAAATATCTGTATTCAGGGCTCTGAAAAATGCTTTCCTGAGTTTTTAATGACATTTTCATGGGATTTTCAGCAGTTCATAGTGCGACAACAAAGGATACCTTGCAAAAAGTGCTGTCGAACTTCACCGAGTAGGCACTGCGTCGTTTGTCTGGTTCCAAACTTTATACGTTACGTTTGTGTTTTGGTAGTAAACATTGAGAGGTGATCAAAGGAAAATCGTTTCTAATGTAAACAGACCTATCTAGAAAGCAGACCCTCAGTCAATGGAATTGTCTTATTTAAGCGGTACCCATTCCTTTCATTTTGTAGCTTCCCTTGATCTACTGGCAGTTGTTTTAAGCTGACAGTTATCTTAAAAACCACACCTATAGTAGAGCGCTAGTGTGGCCAGCCTCGGAAAACAACTTAACCTTTTTTAACATTTTGGTCAAATAGTCCTGTTCAAGTGTAACTACTTCATTGCTTAATGTCCTTTCCAGGGCGTTTCCCTTGTAAATTGGGAAGGCATCTCCTAATATTCATAACCTATTCACAATCACTGACCTTCTATAAACCAGTCCTTAGGTGGGTCTTTGTAACCATCACATAGCGAGTACTCTAACACGACTTCAACGTCGTATTTTCCTGGTTCCAACACAAGAAAACTGACCTCGTATTTCCCATTGTTATGATCAATTACTGTCGGAGACATGGAGGATGGACCTCGTATATGGACCCGCCACGAGTCTCCTCCAATCTTTTTGTCTATGTTGTCTCGCGTGACAGACTGGATATCGAACCGACTAAACTGCCCGGCCGGTCTGATATCCCACAGTGTCAAATAGCTTTTCGCTGCGTCTGTCTTGTTTTGTTGTCCCCAGTTCCCTTCTCCCCACGCCATGTGGTCTGCGCATGGCCGTAACACTTGTATCCAGTCCATTCGCATTCGTTTTACTCGGCACCAGGTTTCCATAAAGTCTGCGAAAAGGGCGTTTTCACGCGCGTAGGCTTTACTTTTGTCACTGTCATTTCCATTTGATGCGATATATTCTTGGTGATGGCCGTGTAGCCAGTACAGATACGCCAAAATCCCTAGAGTTATGACAGTTATAGTTTTGCGAGATAATATCATGCTGACCCATGATGTTATTGCGCGAAGAATCATTCAGAACTTTCGAAGATGATGATTATGTCTGATTATGGCTCATTTTACCAAATCTGCAAAGAAACTGCGAAAACCAATCAACCAAAATCAAAAAATCGTAACAGTGCTCACCATGGACAAACTTATGAACATAATTACAATTATGACGCCGCACTTGGTTTTGAAGGAAAGTAAGTCAGAAATATTACAGTCCTGCGTATTGCAAAAAATTGTTTTAACTACCGTATTATTGCAAAGAAATATTCTTCAACACCAACAAGTTCTTGAAAGTTACGTAGAGCTATCGGAATACCCATCGGGATCCGTCATCAGCGCCGTTTGTATTATTATTTTCCGTGTTAAACGAACAGAATTAACCTATCAGGGCCGCCCAAATGCGGTGCTTATTCAAATGAATACGGTAAACTACCTTCTTCATAGTAATTGCTTTCTAATAGATCGTAGGAAAGTTACTTTTTCAAAGTTTTTGATCGCTGATTTACCCGCTAGTTAAATCTAACTTTTACCACAAGCAGACGAAAACCGTCATTCCTGCTTCAACCCTTAACTGAGTCGACAAATTTCTCGTCGCCAGCGCCACAATCCTATTGGCCAGTGCCTCTCTTGATTCTAAGAGAACAAGCTAGGGCAAAGCTGCCATGTTTATAATTATTGGTGATGGTTATTGTTTCAATTTTCTGAGGTTACGAACAAAGCCGGAAGTAGTTCGTGATTCGCGGAGTTCCTTTTCCAGAACCGGCCATAGCTTTTGATATCGGTCTGTAAATATCCCACCAATACAGGTCTATCTTTTTTGGAACATACTTCCGTTTAAAGGGCAACTGCAATCGACGCCCAGGTGATCCATATTTGCAACCAATACAACCAAATTGAAAAAGGGCATTGAGTGGAAAATCAATTAAGTCCCTGAAGTTGAGAAAATATTGAAGCATTTCTGATGATGTATTTCAGTTAGTGTTTGATGTAGTTTATCGTTGATTGTACACGATCAAGCTGTTACTTCTCCTTACCAATTTACCAGACGTTATCGTAACATTGCTGATCAATCATTTAAATACTTGGGCATCTTGAGAGCAGCTTTTAAATTTTTTTCTCTTGATGTTCAGGATGTTATCCACATAACTTCATTAGTACACAGATAACAACGCATGTGGTGGCCAACATTAGCGCTCTCCTTTGTCTTAGTAACTAGTATACTTGACAATTTCGTTACGTCCTTACAATGAGGTGTCACTTCATTTCAATTTCATTTGTATTTAGGCTTCTAAAGTCTTACCTTAAATTGATCAGTTTCCCGGCAATTCTTTTAAGGCCTTATCCAACGACAAATTTGAAGGAAGACATTATTACTTGTGGTTGTTAAGTCGTGACCTGGTACCAGTTCAAGAGGCGACACCCTGCTGGTGTTGCTGGTAGCTTGCGCGCCCACAGGTGTTACCAAGGAAGCAGCTCATGCTTCGGATATTAGGGAGTTTAAGCAGTGAAGTTTTTTTGAGGGACGCACGTCAACCGGAAGTGAGCCTTTTTTCTCTTTTAATATGCCTTGATGCCACCAAATTTGTATTGCTAGCTGTCTTTACTCTTATAGAGAAATTTTGCCCAAAAATGTGTTCAAAATCACGGCTCAAGAGTGCAAAAAGTCCACTTCCGGTTTACGTGCATCGTCGCTTTTTAAACTCCCTAATAGTTTGTCAATTTAGTCTGAAACACTTACTATTTACAAGACTCTGCCCTTTTATAAAACCTGTTCTAGGCTAGACACCAAAAAAATCCGTCTAAAAGAGATCGGAACGTTGTCTGCGTTACGCAATGCGCTGCAAAACATTTTTTTCCCTTTCCTCCTTGCGCCACCGCTACGTTTCGAAGGTAGAGAAAGCACTGCGAGCACCCGTTTACTTTTTCATCCAGCATGCGCGTTCACATGACGCCTACGTCAAAACGTACAATGACATCACTTCCTCTTGTTTCGCAAGAAACATCAAGGACTCTAAGATCCAACGATGCGACGACAATGAGAACGCGCATGCACTCCTCTCAGTAAATCTGTAGAAAAAGAGAGACTGCTCGCAGTCTACATTCCACTGTTGTTTCAGTGCTTTTGCCGGTTTTGGGAACGAAACGCTTGCTGCTCGAACGTGCCATGATGTTTTGATAATAATTAAGCTATTGAAAACCAAGGAGAGAAAGCGTGTGTAAAATTAACATTTAAAAAATGGTCTTGATGCAAAAACGGTTTCCAGTACAATGGTTATTTGGGCTTTAAATTATTGACATTGACTTTGACGTAGCGCACAATTAAACCACCACTGAGATAAATTTATCTCTATTTTTTTGCCATGCATGATTTTATTGGTTTCGTATTGAAAGTCAAGATATAAAGGCCTTTCCATTAAAAGAGATGAATAACATTCGCGACTTGCTTCACCATATGGACGCCGTTGGCTGTATGTAAACACAGGTTGTAGTTAGTAACGTTAGACGGTTTATAGCATGCTGTGTTCGAATCCACACAAATGTCTTCTTTTTTCTGATTCAAAAAGGAGAATAAAAGACCGTTTTCCTCGTCCTTTTTTAATTTTCACTGAACAAATCTCATCACGTTTGATAACTCGGAACCTGTTTGACGTCTGGAAGACCGCGTACGGCGTGTGAATCCAGCTGATGTGAGTAGAGTTAGTGATTGTTCCCTGCCGTTCTCTAAAGTTCACATGGATGAGAATCTTATCACAAGTAATGATCCTGGCGTTTGACCTCCTTGTAAATTGATGGTGATAAGGAATGACGCCCATTCGCGGTTTCAAAAGGAATCCTGTGGGCGGCTGGAGGAATGACCCGTTGCACGGAGTTGACAGGCGTCTGAACGTGACATGGAGCGACGATCCGTATCAGCGTCATTCTCATTTCTGAACTGCGAAAGGTGTACACTACAGGATTCATGGCACTGTTTCCGTAGTGAAGAATCTTTACAAAGTCCACCAGATACAAAAGGCTCATTCCTCTAGGAACGCATTTCAGCGTTGGGCAGAAGATGAATAGCAACGAAAGCGTGAAAAACGGCAGCCAAGACAGCAGAAATAAACTGGTGACAATCAGAACAGTGTTCGCTGTTGCTCGTTCATTTTGAACTTTTTTCTGGATGGAGCTGACAGAATACGATCGTCGACGAATGTTGAACAGTTTCACGTTTTTGTAAATGTTGGCGTACATGGAAATTATGATTACTAGTGGAACAATGAAGCCAGCTGTTGTGGTTAGCAGCCCTCGGTATCTCGACCATGAATCTGATTTGAAATCTGTAATAAAGATGCCCGCTACGATCATCCCATATATCCAAGCTGCAACAAGAACACACTGGTAATAACATTTTGGAATGACTCGGTGTCGCAAAGGTTTTGAAATAGCAATGTTTCGCTCCACGCTTATGACTGTAAGGTGGGCAATCGATGTAAGTGCGCTGAACACATCGAAAAACGTGTAGACTCTTCGAAACTCCATGTTTGCTGCACTTGGAAAAGAATTGTTCAGGTCGTAGATCAGGAAATATATCCAGGATGGTATAGAGATAGCGCCAACTAGAAAATCTGAGATTGCCAGGCTCGCGAAAAACATGTTGGTCGTAGTGCGGAGCTTATTGTTGCGTTTAAAGGCTATAACGATCAGTGAGTTGCTCAGTATCACCAACAACGCGAGAAGAGTGTAGATAAACACAAAAATAAGTGTTTCCTCTGCTGTATGGCGGTACTTGTTGGCCACTGATGGTCGACTTGGTTTCAGTGAAGCATTGGTTGGCGTCAGTGACGTTTCAAAAGAAGAATTTCCTGTACTTGAGACCAAGTTTTCCATTTTCAAAATAGTTTGTGATATTCTCTTTGCGTCCTCCTCTTTACAATGCGCTGCGACATCTGAAGAAAGAATTAAATAAGGTGATTCGAATCACAATTATGGAAATCGTTTGACGAATATTTAGGACTTCAGTCAAAGTTAAAGTATTCGGCAACATTTATGACACGTTTGGAAAACGGAAGACAAACTTTCAGTCATTAATACAAATTGCATTTCACACCTGCTTGCCCAGTGGGCAAATATACTTTTCCTGTTACATTTGCATTTTCTTCGCAATTTTTCCCTTTTAATTACTACTTTTCTTGCTGGTCGAGTTTCGAATTTACAAGAAAAGTTTATTTCAACGTTCACACTCCGTAGTATTTCACTGACCCGCCTGCTGGAATCTGCACCCCTAAAATGAGGAGAGCCAACTAAACGAACTGAAAACTGGCTTTTATTGTGCCTCGCAAGTGACATTCTATAGACGGCTCTCTAACCGGCAAATTCGCGGCAAATTGCCAACCCCACTAATCAAAGGTAACAAACAAGAAGTTACTTCTCAGCGCTTTAATATTTCGACAATAGTTATACTTTGCGGTTTAATTCAGAGTCGCATTAAGTTAGAATCACGTTAAATAGTTTTACAGTATAGTAAACAGCATCACAGCCACAGTCTCCTCAGTAGCGTTCATTGGAATGGTCGCATTTAGGATTTTACCCACAGACTTCAAAGTGAGAAACTTAAAGGGACAGGTTCACGGTTAAGCGCATGCTCATTAATTAAATTACTTTTTTCCATTTATTATTAATTCTATCGGTTAATAATTCCCCTAACATGTATCTCAGCGATCTCAGAGTGTATTTCAAAGTAGAAGTTTATTTCAGCGAAACCTGAAGTAAGATGGAGGAGTACTAAAATCGCAGAAAAAAATAGTGGATTATGCCAACACTACCAACGTTGAATTTATTGTTGACCCGAAGGTTTTATTCCATGGTTGATTAATTTACAGTTATTTGCACATAAGTTGATTAAGTGACTGCCAGGAGAGGAGTGTACGTGCAGATTGGTTCTTTCACATCATTTTGACATGATCATATTGTTTGCGTAGGCGATACAGCATGTCGCCGCAGAAAAAAAACATTTTCATAAAGGAGCATGCTCTGAACCGTGAACCTTTCCCTTTAAATTTTGTTCGACATAATAAACAGTACCACAGGAAAGTACATCCTAGTATCTTTCTTTTGAATGACCACAGACTCAAAAGTTAGAACCACCTTGTACAACATGATAAACAGTACCACTGAAAAGTACTGCTCAGTAGCTTTCGTTTGAATGGTTAAACTTTAGGATTTCACCCACAGATTCAAAAGTTAGAACCACTTTGTACAGCATGCATGATAAACGGTACAACAGTAAAGCACTGCTCATGGGCAATATAACGTTTTTGTATGAATGGTCACTTGCTAGGATTCCATCCGTAGACCCAAAAGTTAGAGCCACGTTGTATTATATTACAGAACAATTAAAATAAGATATTTTCGAGAGAAAAATCTCGGAAGGGTGCTCACAAGTTCTGTTATCCCCAGCTTTAAAAGTCAGAGTTTTTTTACCATGGTGTAAGTTATTCTGCAATAAATTGAATTTTAAAAATGTTAACAAATATCATGCATTA